TCTCGGAACAATTACTGCCATGGGGGCCATCAGGCTCGAAGTACTAGGGACAATTTTTCTGCGCCTTGGGATAACCTTGAACCCCAGTGCAGTCCCTCACTTCTGCCCCTAGTTGCAAAATACTAGCACTAAGTTTCATCGGCTCTGGGTTAAACTTAGGTTAATAGATTGGTCTGGCTGTGTAGTTGGGAGAGCATCGGGCCCGGGTGTGATCTCGATCTCCATGACCTCGATACTTGAAGGTTTTCCAACGGTAGGCATACTGGGTAGCGTAGCCTAGAACGCGTATCCCCATTTCGCCCATTTCCACTTCGGCCATTTCGGGAAGGGCATAATTCTGAGGGTTTATATCCAATGAGAGCGTTAACGGCCACTCGCCCGATCTCTCTAAAAATCGGGTGACCATGTTGCGGAAACGAAGGTTTCGTGCCACGTCTCTAGTAATAGTATGGCCTACCCTCATGGTCAAGTTTGCCCACATTTCAGGTGAAGACAGTGCAAGGTCTCGCCAACGAGAGCATACGTAGCTGATTGCCATTGCGGGGAGATGAGTGATCATGAACCAGGAACGACGGAAAGGATTATATCGCTCCATACGCTCGTCGTCGAGACAATTCGTCTCACACGCCTGCTGGAAGATGCGAAATAAAATCTCGTTCGGCAGCTTCCGCATTGGAGATAACAAAGCGCGTAGCTCGGCTCTCTGGGCCTCGAGCTGTTGTTTCTGTTCTTCAATAATCATGATTTGGTCGTGGAGGCGTGCAATTTCGGAATCATGGTCCTCAATGTCTTTATCTGCCAGAGCCAGCATCTCCTTGACCCGTTCCGGGGGTGTCACAGATGGCCCAAACTCGGAACGAAGATCGTTGTGTATTTTGGATATTTCTGCAGGGCTGAGATTTACGCGGATCTGCGTTTTTTGTGCGCATCTTGCGCAAAGCGAGGTGGTCATCGTGCAAGAGAGAGAAGCAAAGCGTCTTATCGCCGGTTTAGCGCTTGACTCAATGGAACAAATTCTTGCCTTCTACCCTTCTACCAGATAATTCCGACTGAAAGAGGCGTTTACATTATGATAACTTAATTCCTCATTCCGACGTTCAAAAATGGACAAACCCTCCATAATCAGTTTGATCCAGTCTCAAAGAATACAGTACAAGAACTCCGAACAAGTAGAACATTTATCCCTGGAATGCCACACCAGCCTTCGATGTTTCGGCCATTCCTCCACCTGCGAAACCGGTACCTAGAAGGATTGAAATAAGGACGAAGAAAATAACGAAATGAGCAGCAAAATCAAACTCACCCTCCCTCTTCAATTCGATAATATCTCCAGATCCCCTCCCGTTCTTGTCGCCCTTTTCCTTCTTTACTTTATCGCCCTTTCCGTTCGTTTCTGGTACCTCGTCACCGAGCTTGAGCGTAGTATCACACACGACACATTGCTTTGCTGGTCTGACGAGAGTATCAGTACAGGTTTTGCAAGTTACATGGGCGCAGGGCTTTGCAACTAAGATAATGGGAAGATGTAAATGCAGGTAGATGAGCACGAAAGCGGTATGAAAGACATACGATATATCAACGTATTATTCGACAGGATTTTCTTGCACGAAGGACACATAGCTTGCTGTGAGTCGGGATTACTAGACGTCTCGTATGTGAATTTGACAGGAATGAGGTTCTTCATTCTGAGAATGATGGTCAATACACGATGAAGCGACACAGAGATAAACTCACGCTAACGGATGAGCTGGATTTCCTCCTCTACATGTGGTTTGTAACTTCACGTCCTCTAAACTCTTCGGGTCACCGGACGAGGTATACGTTGGTGTCAACGAAGGTAACCAAAAGTCGGGGAGCTTTGCTTTGAGCCCTTCTATCTGCTCGAGCTCGATCTTTCGAAGCGCAGCTTCTTCAGCTTCCAAAGCAAGAGTTTCGACAGTGGAAGCGTCAAAGTTGAATTTCCGTTTGAGAGGATTAACGGCCGATGATTCCGAAGTAGAGCCAGAAGTTGTCGTAGTATTCGACGCAGCAGCCAGGCCTAGTTGGCCTTTCTCAAACTCCGAGAGAACTCTGTCTCTTGCAGCTTGCCTAGCCCGCTTTTTGTCCTCCTCTGCTTCACGCTTCAGGGCTTCAAGGCGTTCTTTCTGCCGTTTAATGTCCTTTTTCTGTGTTACTGGGACGGTTAGGAAAAATTTGCTCCAGTTAACACATAACTACTCACGGAGATCTGTATAAACACATTCCTTGCAGAACAGATGTCCCTCGTTGCAAGCCAGTGGCTCTCTAGCTCTGTTTAAGCAGAGTGCACAGGCGTCAAAGCGACGCATGGATTCATTTCCTAGGCGTTGCTGTTTAGTAACAAGAATGTAGAAAAAGCGAGTGAATCGATGAATTATCAGGATCTTCAATGAGTGCAGGATCACGAACCTTTTTCGTTCCATAATCCAGCTTTTTATATTCTGCATATGAGAATATTGACGACGCAGTGTTGTTTTTACTGTGTTTTGTCATTGGGCGACGTAAAGCGAGATGAGAGAGCTAGGTCACGGCCCGGGCTGCTCCTTCAAGTTACTTTCCGCAACCATGAACTCACTTTTCAGTGTAACAATTTCTGTGCTTCTGTCTACAAACCCTCCTCTATATCAAGATCATCAATATGGAAGAAATACTTGTACGCTACTAATTGATTCTGTTCAGTGCCAGGTGTTGCTCGATTTCAGATATAGGTAATCATCTTCGCAACCTAGGCATTCCATTGTCTCCCCTAGGCAGACTCTATACGTTTGTTCACAGGCGAGCAGTGCAAACTTGTATAGAGGCATTCCATAGCTATGCCCTTTTTGTGGCCGTTATACGAAGAAGTATCTAGTTGCCACAAATTAGAACCTGGCCCCGGCGAGAGAGACGACGCGTGTCATCACGATGATTCCAATGGGGCCAACGCTGGAATCCTTCATACGTTAGCCTCAATTCTCTTTGAATTGCTCAACACAAGAACAACGCTACCGATGTTTTCGTTCGACTACGATTTTATCGATTTCCGAAAATCGAGCCAACATGTACATAAACCACGCAGATTCAACTAGCTGCATGTGCTTCTTCCAAAAAGGTTAGTAACTTTCTTGGTAACAACGTGAATAAAGCTTGATATTATACACTATCAAGGGATATCTTGATTCTACGAGTCAACAGTGTGACTAACGCAATCGTTCCGTGATTTCCAGCGTATGTTTCCATACGATATCCACTGTTTCCTCGTCCGCTGGCGCGTATGACATAAGCTGGCCTTTTGGATCGTAGCTATTGAACCCCGGTGATGACTTCATGAGAGCATCAAGGTGGATATCACCAGCTTCCTGGACAAAAGTGAGCGGTGTATTACTCGCGTGGGTTACTGAACCTTACCTCTGGTGTTTTAGACATCAGCGAGAACACAGGGTACACAACATAGTACGGAACTTTCCAATAGCATTTCGAAGAAGTGAACATCGGAGAACGAACAATGCCTGGATAGGCGTGGTTGAAAGCGATTGTGGGCTCTTCCTTGGCGAGTTTCTATGAAGATGTCAATACGTCTTCAGCAGTTCGTTACTGATATACCCACCTGGAATGCAACATTAGTATACGTAGTGAAGGATGCAAGCATCTTGCCCAACGTATGACTTTTCTTCAAATCCAAGTTATCTCTCTCAATCGGGGCGTTTGCCCCAGCTCCAAACGCCCCGGCTCCCAAAATCGTGTAAACTTTTGCACCCCGTTCGGAATTCCTCAGCAGAGGCAACAAGTCATGAATGAACGTCCATCGAGAGTAGTAGCTTAGCACCATTTTCTCGTCTAGGCCTTCGCTGGTTTCCTTTCTTCCTGCGAAAACTAGGATTCCTGAAGAAAGGACGAGACAGTCTATTCGCGGTAAGCGCTCTAAGAGTGCACTAGCGGTTCTGTGGACGTTAGAAACCAGGGAAACGTCGGTGGATAAGAATTCGTGGATAGCGTCGGTGTTCTGAGATTCGGGGAAGGAAGCAATCATCTGGTCTGCAGCAGCTTTGTTACGTCCGATGATAACGATGTGTGCGTTTCCATCGGTGCGCTGGGCAAACGCCTCCGCCATAGATCGTCCTATTCCAGATGTACCTCCGACGAACACTGCGATTGGAACTTGGCTGGACATGTTTTGCGTTTGTGTGGTGGGTAGTGGGATGTCTGTGGTCGTTGCACTTGAACTTTATACATATGGGCGTACGCGTCAGGGTTAACTCCGATAGCTCAAACCAGGCTCAAACATCGCTAAGCACCTCGAGTTTCAGCATCACGACACAGCGCAACACCTCACAACGCAACACTCATACATGTCAGACGGGGTGCGGTCACAGGTCTGGTAGTGGTCTAGTGAAGTGTGGACCGTTATGGAATTGTGGTAGCAATCAATTAGCTCGGTTCGTTTCCTCGAAGGAAGGAAGTGAAATACTCGGCACGGTCCAAGGCGAACGCCGGGGCAGCCGATGCTCCCATGGTGCTTGATTTCAGTTTGGGTGAAGGGTTGTGGCCTGTTGAGGTGTGAGTCAGACTGAGAATGAGACAAGCTGGATTGGGGTACTGTTGGGACCAAGTGGACCAAGTATTAACACGCCGGATCCGAGAGGCTACCGGATGCGTCTTTGTACATCATCGTCTCCCCGGTCTGGACGAGCTCACTATAGCGGTACTTAGATCCGTGAGCCGAAAGAGAGGCCAAGACCTCCGAGTTCTCCTTCGAGATCTTATTCACCCCGAAAATAATGTCTATCTGCCCCCAGGAAGTGATTGCACTAGTCCGGTTCACTTCGTCAACCGTTTTAAAACATGCTCCTCCTCGTACTTCCGCTGCATCTTCCGATCACTTTGGTGGTTTATGAATGCTCTAAACATGGTCTCACAACAGGCAGTTTTGATCCGTTTTCGACCGTTACCATTCCCTTCTGCGACTTTAGAAACTTGTACTGGTCATCCGTTGTCTAGGTATCGCCCGCTTAGCTCAGTGGTAGAGCATTGTACTTATGAGGTCACGTGGAGTCCTGCGCATGAGATTATGCAAGGGTCGGCAGTTCGACCCTGCCAGTGGGCATCAACACATTCAGTGTTTCATTTACTTTTCTTTTTGTGTTTACCATTAATGTAATGCGTTGGAAAGTACTTTTCACTACTTACGGTAAAGAGTTCTTTTCATGCGATCAGTTATGTTTTCTAAAATTGCTGTTTCACAAATGATATTCACTCAATACAGCCTTTGAAAAGCATTATCTTCATATATACATAGTCTCAAAACTTAAACTACTGTGTGGACTCAAGATCCATTGGCCACGCAATGTTCCCATCCCACTAGTAGTTAGGTCCCAAAATCAGTAGGAGACATATAAGTACACACATCCTCAAAAAGATTGCTTAGGTCTCCTCCCAGTTGCTCCTTCCTGTAACGCCTCCACTTCTGCCTACCCCCCTCACCATTCTGATAACAGCCGGCCACGCCCTACGCGCGCGGCCCAATTCCTTTGGTGTTGTACGCCAATTACCTTATCTTATCAATTGATAAGATATTATTTCTATTCCTATTCAGTTTGTCTACTTAAGTACCGTACAATTAGCTAATTACGCTAGTTCTTTCGCACCTTGAGTACACAATCGCATAGCTTTTGTAGTGTTCACGCGTGCGACCTAAGGACTCTGGCCACCGGCCCTTACACTTTTTGAACACCAATCCTGCTATACAGATTGGGTGATCAAGTTAAAACTTAAGTAAAAAAAAAAAACTACTTGAATAACTATACTACTACCACGTATATCCAACCAAACTCGTTCGTCTAACTCTGCATCAAACGCGCCAAGCAAAATCAAAACCATCGATCATATGGACCCTTTTAGGTACTTAGAAAAGTCCCAGAGAACTGCGAGTTATCGCAATTCGTTCAGTGGTGATGCCACGTCACCAGCAAATTCTCACGACGAGAATATGCCTCGAATACCATCCCGAAAGGATGGTAATATGGGCACAAGTGAATTTACTGATGCCATGTATGCTATAAAGCAGACACTTCATCATAGCATGCAAATGCTAGAAAGTGTTAACACTATGGTGGAAAACTGGGGAAGACCTGTTAGGTCATCCAATATGAGATGTCCGTCTATCGCTGATGGTGCATGGGACCCGCACAGGCCCCGATTATCACCACCATTGCCTACTAACAGTAGGCAAAGCAAAGATCTGATTCAACAAATCAGATCTTCACATGAGGTGATTCGAACAGATACACAATCTGTTCAAGATGTACAAATGGTCATTGGAATGCCAAGAACCCGCCCATTGTCTTCAACGGTTGACAACAACTCAGTACATTGAGTATTGAGTGGGAATAACAACCCAACAGGGTTGCTACCATGTTCGCCGGTAACGGCGCAGATGTTACCACATCAGAATACAGTGGTAAAAGTTGAAAATACAGGGGATGAATCACATCCCAGTGATCCCGTTGAGAGACAGGAGGTATCTTGTGAACAACACGGGCAACCCTGTACGTATGCCATCCAAGAAGAGGATGAACAAGAGGAGATAGAATCTCCGAACATAACTGATCCTAATGACGAGGAATCGTCCGAAGGAGAATACACCCTCGAACCATACGAGGATGAATATGTCAGTCGACTATATGACGACGACAATGACTTTAGCGACTACTATGGTCGCATAATGGAACCGGTTCAGACCGATCCTGAGGATTTTGAAGATCCATTAGATGATTGCGGACCACCAGTCTGCATTGAAGAGGACATGGATAATAATTTATTCTTGTCCATAGACCCTCATCATCATTCATTTATAATGAATGAAGATCGGTTGACTGCTATCAGTCACCATGAAGATGAAGAACCTAAACCTGAACAAGGTAAAGGATTCCAAACTCTAAGCAAACAAATGCCACGCCCTCATAGAGGCCCAGCTATAAATTGTTCAATTGAACAACTATCAAAGTCAATGGTTGAAGCCGACCAAAAAGACTGGGTAGAAAGGTACCTAACAGCACAGCAGGCCATGTGGCCTCTAGATCCAAATACGGATGAACCCATATGGGTCATCTGCGACACGTCGGTATCCGGCGTCGAATGTATGTATGGTCAAGGACCTACATGGCAGACCTGTAGGCCTACCAGATTTATGTCCAAAAGGTTTACTGCAGCGCATCATAACTATAGAGTCCTTGTGTTAGAGACTTTATTAAATTCCATTATCAAGGAGAGCACAGGGTATGCTCCCTTTGAGGTAGATAGAGGGTACATGTGCCCAATGATGGAGTTTACAATAAATTCCAGTATAAACGAGAGCACCAGGTTTGCTCCTTTTGAAGTAAAATGGAGAGTACATGCTTTCCATGGTTCGTGAATACCCAAGTGATGCACAAGTGTTGCTGGGTGTATGCAAATGAAACCCCAGCTATCGATGTATCAAACTTGATAATGGGTAAATCATATGAACCCCAGAATAACGTCTTCACAGGAAGATTGTCTCCGGCCCCAAGAGGACCGAGATTGTTACCTACTCTGTCTACAATTAGTAGACTGACAACTAGACCCAGTAATATGACTTACTGGTATCTATTAATGTCACATTGTTTCGATTAGTGCCCCTGGCACTAATCTAGTGGGGGAGGGTGTAACGCCTCCACTTCTGCCTACCCCCCTCACCATTCTGATAACAGCCGGCCACGCCCTACGCGCGCGGCCCAATTCCTTTGGTGTTGTACGCCAATTACCTTATCTTATCAATTGATAAGATATTATTTCTATTCCTATTCAGTTTGTCTACTTAAGTACCGTACAATTAGCTAATTACGCTAGTTCTTTCGCACCTTGAGTACACAATCGCATAGCTTTTGTAGTGTTCACGCGTGCGACCTAAGGACTCTGGCCACCGGCCCTTACACTTCCCCCATCAGAGATATAGCCAGAAGTGGCATAAGAATTGATCTTTCAATCCCGAAGACCTAAGCAGTAGACGTCCGCATACCCAATGAAGCTCACATGGCACTCCTGCGAGGACAAGTTAATCAAGAGTCTATGCATGTATCGGACCATAACAGTTATTGACGCCATCCATAGTGCATTAAGTAAACCTTCTACGACAGTATGAGCAAGCCAGAAAATAAAATGACATACCAGGGACATTGTACAAAGCGAAAGGGCGTTGTCTCATTCAAACGAGCACTGAAGTATAGGCGTGGTTGGCGGGAGGTGTTCGCGGCTGGTATTCCGTAAATGACTCATAATCTCAACTAGAGTAACTAGACTCGACTGAGATGCAAACAAATAGTCTCCAGGACAGCACTACTTCCCCGCGGCCGAAGTTGCTCACGTTGCAGTACTAGTAGTAGCTACGTACCTATGCCATCCCCCGAGCGGCCGAAACGCATGGAAGGATGAAAAAGATAAAGTGAAAATAAAGGTCTAGTAAGAAGATAGAGAGTTTTTATGAGCCGATAAGACCGTATATCAAAGGTAAGTAGGTATGTTTTAAGATTCGAAAAGACGAGGGCCAAATGGACTCAGGTGGCCAAAACGAAGATTTGAATCAGAGAATTATCACGGCAGAAGAATCAGTTACAGAATGTGGGATGGTCACTGTTTGGAGCCGAAGCCGCAGTGTACATATCGCCACGACAGCACTGTAGTAGGAAGAGCCCTATGTTCTTGAGTTAGTAGGGTAGAGTGTGGAGAGCTAGCGTCGTCTGCAGCATGGGCTTTGGGCGCGACGTTATTCCAAGGCGACAGGTACAATGAACAATGAAAACGTGAGAAAGATTGAGCGCCAGTTACTAGTTATCGGCGCCCGTGTGAACTTCGATCAAGACCAAATCAATGATTCTCAAAATCATACATATGGACTTTTCTGGACTGTCAGACGTCCTCATGAATGTTGGACATCCCTTTACGTATGCAGTACGCCACTCTAAGTATAAATACAGCGCTGCTCCTCAGTTCTTCACACCGATTCCCATCAATGTATCTCCTCCTCTTTTGCTCTGCGCTGTTCTACGTTGGGACAGTGGCCCTTTACAGACTCTTTTTCCATCCCCTTCGCAAATATCCCGGGCCAGTTCTAGCGGCATTCACCGAAGGATATGAAATGTATTATAATATCGTCAAGGGAGGAGGTCTGGTCATTCAGATTGAAAAACTGCATAAAATCCACGGTAAGAGTTCATTGCTTGGCTTCGGGTCGACGCGATTCAAGAGACCTGCTTGCTTCACACAGGTCCGGTAATCAGAATCGGCCCAAATACTGTCAGTCCGAAAGCCTCATTGTTTCTCATGAACTATTCACGAACATATTCGGCTCCCTCTTGAATACAGCTACACTTCAACTACAAGCAGGCATATCACGATATCTACACATACGGGTCGACGTTGACCAAATCGCCCGAATTCTATCAGAGCGTGTCTGTTCATAGTCCAGAAGGTTCTTTTGCTTTCTGCGATCCTCACGAATCCAGAAATCGGAGAGCCTTACTAGCACCGCTATTCTCTCGTAGAGGGGTGGTAGCACTCGAGTATACAATCCAAGAAAAGGTCGGATACTGCACTTTACGGGTCTAGTACTTATCCTGGACTCCAACAGGTTGACAAGCTAATTACTTTGCTGGCGGAGAACTATAACTCTCAAAATGCGAGTGTCGATATGCACATCGCCTTCCGTGCAGTTACCATTGACATCATTACCTCTTACTGCTTCGCTCAATCCGCGAATGCTCTTGAAGTTGCAAATCTATCGCATCCATTCCTCCAAAGTGTTCAAGGCCTCTTCAAAACATTGTGGTTTCAGAGACATTTCCCTTTCCTCACGAGCTTAGTTGACCTGGTTCCCCTAAAGCTAGTCTTGTGGCTTTTGCCCTTGTATAGTGGCTACTCCGAACTAAGGCTAACTTTCCAACGTCAGATTGATAGTCTCATTGATGAGCCTAGCAGCCTATCCAGTGCTGATCATGAGATAATTTATCATCACCTTCTAGAGCCAAAAAACCAAGAACGCCCCTCTAGGTCATCGCTTGTTAATGAAGCATTCACTCTTGTCACCGCCGG